AACAAAAAAAAGAGTTAGTCTTGGAAACTCACAGGAGCAGTTCTACTCTGTCCTACAGGGTTGCTGTGAGTTAGCATTGACTCGAAGGCATTGAGTTTGGTCTGTTCTGTCACCTTAATACACTAGACAAGAAATAATGACTGGTATTACGGTGACAACAAGGGTGAGAAAAGATTTCAGAAGTTTAATAGCGGGAGCTCCAAGATGTTTTAGTGGCTCGATATAATAGCTGCAAATAAAGGGGACATTTGATATGCTTCTTCTATTTTCAGTCTATATGATGGAGTCTGGTGATATTATCCAGTTAGGCGTATTATCCAGTTAGGCGAAGGCATAGAGAAAGTGAAGAAGACAAATTCAAGTTCAGACACACGAGCTCTTGCGGCAACTCTACTATGATAAACAGAGATTTTTGTCATCAATGTATAGGGGCTAATTCAAACAAGAGACATGATGTGATTGTCAGGAAAACCATCAAATAAGAAAAGGATCAAAGATGAAATACTAAGAGAGAAGATGAAAAAGATAAAAGACAGTGGAGAGAATTCCAAAACAGAAACATAATGGAGCACGAGATGAGGAGAAAGTGATTTCACATAGATGAAAGAAAAAAGCACATTTCAAGAAAGTGATTGATGTCTATCATGTCAGTGAAACAGAATAGTCAAGTGGATCAAAATCTGAACTATCTATGATCCTTGAATAAGTCCTTAGTATGAGTAGTTTCAATGGAATGGGACAGTGGGGCTTACATACTCATACCCTAAGCAGTACGTGGTGGTATGAATGTGACAGTAAGAGGAGACTGAAAATACAGACTACACTATTCCAAAGTCTTTCACAAATAAAGGGAGTGTATTCCCATCTTTTTGTATTTAAATTCTCTTCTTACCAAGCAAGAACGTAGTAGGAAAAAAAATCTAATGTTTACAAAGTTACCTAAAAAACCCAAATCAGTTGTTGTCAAGTCAATTCTAACTCATGTCAACTCCACTGTGTGAGTGTAGAACCAGACTCCATAAGGTTTTCAATGGCTGACTATTTGGGACTAGATTGTCAGGCCTTTCTTCCAAGACATCTCTGGGTAGATATGAATAGACAACCTTTCAGTTAACAGCTTAGCCTTCAAATGTTATTTGCAAGACCCGGGTAACTCCACAAAGTGACCACATTATTTTTTAAATTAATCATTTTATTGTGGGGCTCTTACAAATCTTATAACAATCCATCATTCCATAGTATTAAGTGTGCTTATACATATGTTGCCATCAACATTTCCAAAACATTTTGTTTTCTTTCTACTTGAGCCCTTGGCATCAGTTCCTCTTTTTTCCGGCTCCCTCCCCCACCCACCTACCCTCATGAATCATTGATCAATTATGCTATTATTGTTATTTCGTGTTTTACATTGTCCATTGTCTCCCTTCACCTACCTTTCTGCTATTCACACCCCC